TACCGGGAAAGAAAGAAAAAAATTTGGTGACAAAGGAAATAGCAGGTAGCGCCGCGTCGCGGAATAATATCGCAACCAGTTCAGGTATTGTAATTGCAACAGCCTGGGACTTTATTCCTTCTGTATTAAAGCTTCTCCTCTTTCTTTTTTCTTTTCCTTTCCCTTGACAATTTTCACGTGACCCAACCCCTTTGCGATCTGGTGCACAAAGGGTTTCGTATAAGGGTAGCTTCACTGGGTATACGTAAACGTATTGGAAAATTGTCGCACGCTAAATCCTACTTCAGCATCTTCCACGTATCGGCCAGGTGCCGTTTAACTTCCTTTTTTTTTTCTTCATCATCCCTTAACAATTTTTCGTCTTATCGCATACGACCCTAGGATCACTCTATTAATAATCCAGAAGCCGGTCCCGGGGCCGCCGTACTAATCCGAAATATGTTATAAACCCGTGTGAGCTCGGAAGCACGCAATCACACGATTCGGCGCACTGTTCACGAACAATGTACTTTAATTCCCGGTTTCTCGGTCCCCGCATACAGAAATCCCATAAATCCACGAAAATTCCCACCGGGAGCCCAGGGCGGCGAAGGTGCCGGTGCGCGCGAGTCCTCCGGTGTAAATTACCGGCTTATTCCCGTGGACAGTGTCCGGATAAATAAAAATATTTATACCGAAGCCGCGTGCACTCGGACAGTAAATTAAACTCGTTTTGCCTGGAGACTGTACATAGGCTGGCATATGGTACGTATATGCATATGCAGGAGATGTATAGATATATATATATAGCACAGAGGGTACCCTTCGAAAAGTTATGTATCTACATAATAGCCATCGTAAAAAATATATATACATATAGCAATATAAAGGATCTCTTAAATGTCCTTGCCACCTATTTATCCTTCTTAACTTTCCTATTCTTCCTAAACTCAATATCCTTACTATAGTCCTTAATATCTTAGCCATAGAAGCCACAACTAGCCAATCCAGCCAAGAGCATCCTTATAGCTCCGTTGCATGGATATATATATTCTATATATCAAGTATATAGGCTCCTACATGAACATCCATTAATGGAGTCCAGCACGCGCACAGGCACGCACGCTCGATAAATTTGTATTATTTCAATAAATTAAGCGTCCAACGATCCAATTTCCAAGTGGGAGCCCTCGGGCAATGTAAATACGAGTAAGTTGCCGAGGTCGGGAGTGGGAGGCCACGAAATTCCTTGAGAAACGATCAGGGTTAACCGATGCAGACTGCTGCAGGTTCATGTTCTTGAACGATGCAGTAACAACTCATTTCTTAAATTTTTTTAAGGGGACATAGGGATAGAGAAAAAGTCCTGACCTGTTATGCTGTAGCATGATAAGGATGTCCCAGGTAACACGAGGTAGTCATCCCTGTTTTCTTCTTATTGATAGGCGGAATAAGAGGCTCTGCGTATTTTCCATTTAATGCGAAAGTTTATTGGCTCGCATTTCAATCGGCATCAAATGAACGAGAGCACGAACGGATCCCCGTGGTATTTACTGGAATGGCGAATATCACTTGCACAGAGAGAGAGAGAGAGAGAGAGAGAGAGAGAGAGAGAGGGTAAATAACAGGAGAGAACGGTAACCGAGAGACTGGCTTCGAAAAAAATCGCAATTCACTCCCGGCAGGTTTTATTAACTCCCGCCTGAATAACTTCTTTTCGCGCGATTCACACCAGCGAAGACATTCTGTATTTAATAAGACGTTTCGTTATTCGCATCAGAAGAGGGTTCGTTCCGTCTTTAATTATTTATCGAGTATGCAATAATTACAAGGGATTCGCGTAGCGTCGATGCCGAACCTGTCAGAACTTGCTTTACACTGTGTGACTTAGATTACATCGTATATAACGTAACTGCACAAGGAGGGAAACGGAAGAGGAAAAGGAAGGGAGTGATGGAAAGTATATAGGGTGGTTCAAAATAGGGGAGCACTGTTGTTTCGCCCGTCAACGATCACCAGGAGATCCAGTATCGATTGCTGATAAGAGTCAGAGAGAGAGGTTAGGGCGCACCGCAGGAAATGGCTTTGCCATGCAGATTCGATCGGTCTACGTCCGCGCCGACTGCTAAATATACTGCGTACAATGTATATAGTGCATTAGACTCGCGTTTACATCCTCCAACGCCATTTCGAAACTCCAGATTCACTGTGTAAGGTGTTTTGTATAGTTCGACAGAAACTCGACCGCGCGGAAGCCGCGTACGTTACTAGCGACACTGGCGCCTCCACGGCTACCTGCGGTCTTCATCGCTACTCATTACGTCAGTCAAACGTAGCATCGTTTTCGTCGGTATTATTGTTACAGTGAATTGTTATTCGAACATTAGTTTTCCTTCGAGAACTTCACTACAAGGTACGTCAGTGATATATATTCTGTAATGTGTATCCCACGAGTGTATAAAAGACTTCAGGTCTCAATTATTAGAGCGAAGATCTGTCTACTAGTCTTGATAGCTCACTAGCATCCATTTTGAATAAAAGTAGGAGCGAGCTTGATGTATGGCCTTTTAAACAGCAGATTTACATATTTTTCTGGATTTAAATAGCGTTACACGAGGTCGGAAATGGGCACGTGGCTCGGTTCCCTTATGGAAGGACATGGGTTGCACAGGGGGACAGGATACAGGGTGACACGTAATTAACCATTATAGTAGTTGACGATAGTATCTTATCCCTGATGCTGTATTATACATGTTGCTGCTGCTGCTGCTGCTGCTATTACCTTGTTGCATCAGTTATCTCTATTTTCTTTTATTTTTCTCTGTATAAAGTTCTACCACCGGAAGCGAGATACGAGTGAGTCACTTTGAAACGCAACCAGAGATTTTACGGATCATTTCCAACGATCCTCTAGCTAACCGTGGACAAGTAAACCCATACGGTTCGATACTGCACCAAACGAACCGGAAGTCCCCCTTTTCTTAGAGCAGTTTCATCCATCGACGATCAATCAAACGGAGTATATCCTTTTATCGCTTACGACGTGTGCAAGACGTCTTTGCCGCTGCTACACCGTCGTTAATGCTGTCATATCTAGGATGCACTTTAATGCGATTTACGTTGCTGAAAATGGCTGACGTATTTATGTATTACATTGCTACTGCTTTATTTTGCTTATAAAGGAAAATAATATGAACGAGCAGTTTCTATGTGGAAATGCAAGAAAAAGTGACAATTACGTAGCCATGACAAAAGTCGTCTTATACGTGTTGGCACCGCGACGGTTGAATTAGAATGCGGCTTTATGGAGGGGAGAATGCGAATTGATACAGTCCTTAAGATACCTTTAATATCTTCTACCTGTCCCTTTTACAGTTTCCATAAGCATCCTGACGTTTCTAAGGGACCGCTCGTACGTTCCTTTTCAGAACCTACTCGTTTTCTGTATATGTCGTTGAAAATCCGCCTTGACAATTCAGCCAGGGACTCACTGCTATTGATAGATGGGCAACTCTATGTTCATTAGTACGTTCATGCTTTTCAGGAATGCACGTCTGAATTGAACAGCCCCGTATCTATTAGACGGATCCAACAACTGGTTTTTACAGAAGTGTCTGAGAATTTTTTATCGAAAAAGCTGCGCCATCGACGAAAAAACTCATGAGATTATCCACGCACATCCGGATATTGTCTGGCCGATTCTGTAGGAGCTGTTTCGTCACGCGGTGAGCGCAATGGTTCTTCCCGGAAAATTTCGATGCTCCCTTTTTGGCGGCCATTATTCAGGTTCTGTATAACACAATTGGATCCTCATACGCTCGAGATTATTAATACTTCAAACGAGCAACTATAGGAAGACAAGGAGTCACGTTGAAGGTTTTGGAGGTTAAATGGCGACAATTGTCGAACGCGGGCACACGGATTATAAAACCAAAAAGAAATTCAAGATGGAGCCCAGGGCACAGGATAAATCTGTAAGTTGATTATTAATACCTCTTTTTCACGCACTAGTTCCCTCACTTAGTTTCTCTGAAAATCCCAGCCCTCTCTGTTCGTTCACAATTTTTTTTTCCCTATTTTAGGTAAAAAGTCTCACCCTACGTCCCACGACAAAAACCAAGCTATCCGTCTTTTGTCCGCGAAAACAAGCAGAGACGATAGACAGAGCCTTCGGGATAAGAAGAAAATGACGAGGAAAGAGTGGTGATTAATTATCCCACGGGAAGGGATCCTTTAAGTAGAGGATCCCATCGATTTTCCTTGAATTAATAGAGAATTATGGTAAAGCGAAATACGGAGGGAAAAACAAATTACAAAGAGGAAGGATAAGTGAGTATCATTTCCTGGATGACGTCGAGATTTCCAGACGAACAAAAATTATCTATCATTCACTAACAATCGCACGAGATAAGACTATTATCGCTTATAAGATCGTAGGTCGTACAACTGTACAAATTCTCTCTTAGGTATCCGGACCGCTTTGCGTACCTCATAGGCCCCAATACAACGGAAGGAGTGGGTGGAGAGAGGGGGATTGTGAGGCAGACTGGAAGATGTTACGACGCTGTAATCCGTATAGAAGGGGGTAAGAATGTACCTACGTTCTCAGAAACGTTACGAGCCCCTTGGAACCTGCGCAACCCCTATCTTCATCCCTTAAAGGTGGTAACCATGTCTCCACGGAGGAGTTAGAGAGACGCTGCTGACTCACGAGCTTGTTTGCAAGGTTCAGTTGATACAAGATTAACAACAAGTCGTTAGAGGGACCAGATGGGTAGGATGGCACTGCAAGGGTGGTTGACAGGATGTTGCCTTTGCCGACGATGCTGCTACCACTAGGGTCGGTTGTTCATGGAGATGTTCTAGGCAAAGGTGGATAGTAGGTTCTAGGTTGTAGGTGGTACACTGGGTAAGGGACTCTGGGGTACGAGAGAGTGTACCACAATGGTCGGCATGGCAACACCACGCGGCATGCAGTACGGCAGAGGGAGAGAGTGAGTCAGTGAGTAAGGAGAGACAGAGAGAAAGAGAGTGAGCGAGCGAGTGAAAGAGAGTTAGCTTCGGCTCGAACTCAGGGACTCTATTTCCATAATCTGCCGCTTTGTCGATTCTGAATTATGCGACAACGCCCCACCCCGTACACATCGTGCGCCCCAGTCCGCCGCCCCTGAGCTCTCCGAGTATCCGATTATTTGCTTGAAATCGATTTCATGTGTTTGGCCGTTCTGTATTTGTACGTTCTCTATATCACATTGTGTCCCTGTTCATCTTCGTTTCGTTACATTGTAGCAGAGGCCAGGATCCGCGGTACCACTGGGGATCCAAATCATCCGAATGAGAGGATAAACTATGGTACAGACAGAATATACCAGGAGGACGGTCACGAGGAAGTCGAACTGAATTTCCATCGACGTATTACCCTACCCATGCTTCAGGTATTATCGACCCCTTTTTTATTCCCTCTTATAACTCCATATACTTCATCTTTTTTCTCTTTCTTTTTTTTTTGTTTAATATTAATGACACTCGCCGGAGAACACCAGACGTCTTCCTCGTCGGCCAGGCGTGACGAGGATTTTCGAGGCCGAACACGAACCAGTCGGACAATTACGTGCAAAGCGATGTCTGCCTGTAAGGGTTTTGTCCGCGAGCCGACGGACGTGTCATTGTTCTCTAAATATCCGTCATTGTGCTGGAGCCTTATCGTCGCGCACGAGTGCCCTGAGACTTACAGATTGTTTCAGCAGGCTGTCACGAATTACGATTCGCTGCTGGGAATTCATGAGATATTTTTTTCACAACTTCAAAGCCACATCCAATATTATTGACTGTCGTTCATTACAATGATGGTGGCAGCATCAATACCATTGTCACGTTACTCCTGTAACGGCCTTAAGTTTGGATACTTTGCACGACGTCTTGATCCTGACAACGGTATATAAAATAGAAGACTGCCAGAAGAACGAAATGATCGTTCAATTGGAATTTATGGAATGAAGCCCTACTTCGTCAGTGCTGCAGCTATCTGTGTACTGATCGGCCAACAGAAAGTCCCATCCTCGGGCCAGTTTCCGATCGTGGGTTAAATTTTGCAGTAGCTATCCATTGTTCAGCCACCATTGTTTCAGTATCTCGGGGGCGGCGCTTCCCATTGTCTCCACCCTTTGTGCCTCTCCGTGGCCGGATCTCTCGCCTTGACTAGAAAGAACGGCGGAGGGTGTTTCGTTCGGTGATGGAAGGACGGGGTGGGGAGAGAGAAGGGAGGAGATCGGGATGCTGCCAGGGAATAAAGGGAGGAAACACAGGAATTGAAATAATCGAGAAAGCGCCAGTGGGAGGTAAAGTATTATACTACCCTTCCAGTTGGCCTTTCTGCTCCTCTCAATTTCACCCTTTGATCCGACTTATCATGGATTTCATAAAAACCTACAAAAGCCGGACGTTTTTACCTGTAAGTGTAAAATTTCAAATTATTCAATAACACCATAAAGTTACAAGAATCAGTAAATGTCCCGTCGTACATTACAATTTCTAGGAAAGGATAAATATTAAGGACATCCAGGACGTGAGTGTGCAGCGAGCATAAATAAAGCCTAGGACATAAAGATGGCCAAGAAGGATCATTGTAAGGGGGACAGGATCGATGCGTCCGCGTTTCTTTTTCTATCCAAAGAACGTGACGTAACGCGGCCGTAAGTCTTGGATAGAACAAAGTGCGTCGATCCACTTTCGGGCCGAATGCGAATCCGATGCAAATCCTCGGCCGGAAGCCGACAATGGGGAAACCTAGCGATATGCTAATGCGTTCTCCAGCGAGCCACGCAGGACCCGTGTTCGCGAGGACATCCATATATCGTATAGTATATACATATATACATATATACACACCTACGTACACCAGTACCACTAGGATTCACTCTAACCACCGCCATTCTGTTATTCCCTGCTAGTCCGCTACTCTCTATCTCGCGTAGAGAGCAACTGCGGTGACGAAGACGAGAGAGAGGGACACGAGGACAAGAAGAGCACCGGAGAGCCAGAGAAAGCGAGAGGCAGAGCGAGGCACGAGGAAAGGCCGATACAATGCTGGCCTCTCCCGCGAGTCGACTTTCCTTGATACATCGCCATTGAGCCATTGTCCGCCTCCCAATGCCCGAACGAAAGACTCCGAGGAGAAAAAAAAATTCAATTCAGCTTTTAAATTATTTCCCCCTCCCCTTCCACAGCCCACCACCCCTCCATCTCGTCTTCCCCTGCCCCCCTCGCCCGTGGAGAAAAAAGGTCGTCGTGTCGTTCCTCGCCCATTCTCCGGCGCGCAACGTCGTCCTCAAAGTCGACGTCGACGTTGTCCTTTCCTCCTCCACGTCTAGCGTCGGGTCTTCGTCTTCGGCTTCCCCATCTCATTCTACTTTGCTACTCTGACTTGAACCTGGCGGCGGCGGCATCGCTTGCGAGAAGCGTCGCGACGCTTCGTCCTTTGGGCGTAATCGTAACGAGATCACCCGGGACATACTCTTCTGCTCGGCGTCTAACCTTCCTCCAAGAGGATGGTCCAACCTGGGTAGACGCTCGTGGGATGAAAGGGTGCCAGAGACGGGGTGGGTTGAAATGGCGTAGGGAGTGCGATAAGTTTGATAAAATAATTCTGATCCTCATTAATATTTAATCCAGCCCTTCCTGCCGTGATTCCCAATAAGTTGAGGGGTGGTAGCGACGCCAAGGGCTACGACGACGCTTCCTTCCCGATAATGGTATATAGGTAGCTGATGAGAAGCGAAGGGGATAACCAGGGGATTGTAGTCGTGTGGTTCTCCAGCTCGCAAAATCCCCTGAGCGAGCCCTATACCCAAGCCAGGAAGGTGGTGGTGGCGGCGGTAGTAGTGGAGGTGGGTAGAGGATCAGCGAAAGGGTGGCTTGGCGTCAATTGATGTCGTGCTCGCCGGTACGAGGTATAGGGGCGTCGGGCGCCACATTGTTTCAGCACAATATCATCCCGACTACCGGGGATCTCTACCGGGGACCCTCGCCATCTCGTTATTTTAATCATCCCCCATTTTATACCCGCAACACTCGGGCTGGCAGCCCTTCGGCATTGGATCTTCCAGTATAAGCGGACCCGACGTCGAGACGCCCGGCACTTGGAGGATAGCGTCTTTCACGAATATCGATATCATCCCTTAACGCTTTTCACAAAAATATTATTCAAAATGAATTTTAATAATTTTTCTTCTCTGTCTTCGCGTTTTTACGTAACCACGGTGACATCTATGGTTCCTCGACGATAACTTCTAATTTCATACTTCGTCACTGCTATATGGGCTCGTCCAGGCTCATCGAGGTGGAACTCGGGCGGGGTAAGTGAAAAGCATCTTTAATCATGGATGCGTTAATATAAAAGTCCTCTTTGTTCGTCTCCTTGTGTCCTCGACGGGTTCCTGGATGTTTGCAGGGATTCGGGAACGGTTTGTTGGATGACTGACTGCTGCCTCGCGACGCGAGGCACCCTTGCTCCATTATGACATTATGGTGCCGGCATTGTCCCAGAGCTGAATGCCGCCTGATGTTGGCTACATCCACGACGCCGACGCCGGTCGTCGATCCACATCGATATCAATACATACCGTAACTATTCGTTATACGATAACTGTTTATTGCGTACCGTAAAATTATACATAACCAATAAACTCTGCAACAAATAGACAAAGCGCAATGAATAACAATGGGCGTAACGATTTCCATGGACATGATCGCTCCTTCGAGTCTGCGCATGCGCGGTGTAATTCAGTATTTCTACGGGGATCGACGTTTTTGCGTATTCGTCCCACGTAAAATTTAAGAGCTGGAAAAGATGGGCGAACAAGGTAAGGTACATGGTGATCGGGTGGAGGTGGAAGGTGGAGGCACCTTGTTACGACATGGCAGGACCTTTGCGGAAGTATTGTCTTGGCGCTTTATCGTGCCACAATGTTGGCGGCAATGAGAACAAAGCCAGCATTACGGCGACTGCCGTGCCAGAGAATGGGTCTTCTGTCTCGAAGAAGGCAGGAAGGACGTCGCGTAAAAATACGTAATACAATGGATTTATAATTAGAAGTCTTCTGTTCCCTCTGTTAGTCCTAGTAGTCGGTTTTCTTATACGTAAACGCCTACACGACATTTTCTCGTTATCATCCTGGCGATGGCAGCAGCTACAATGCCTGGTAATGATAATAACAACAGTCAATAGGCCCAAATGTCTCTCTATGCATAAACTAGTTAGGATATAGACGGGTAAGTGCGCATACCAGTATGGCCGCCGTCACTTGTAGTGCCCACGGTAACCTATTATAAAGTGAGTTGGCTATCTCTCAAAACATCTTTATTTAATCAATTAAACAAACCTGATAAATTATTCAGGTACCTTGTTTGGTTCCAGTACCCAGACTGACGGGTGTCCACCTTCGATACGCAATCAGCTACGTTTGCAAGAGTGGTACGTCTATGGGCGACAGTACCAACGGCGTCGCCACTGTCGCCCCCTTGAGGGACAACAATTGACAAAAACTGACAGCGGAGCGGCCACCTATTGTCGCGTCTCGAATGGAGACAGTAAACAGCTATTGTTGTTGCGAACACATTGTTACTACGCCGTTCGGTTTCTTTTACGTCCGTTTGCGCCGTAAGAACGCTCTCCCGCCATCTTCCGTCTTCCGTACTAGTCCACGCTTATTTTCAGTGCATTTCATTATTCTGGATCTCTGGATATCCGCACTACCCTCTTCTCAATCCTCTTGAATCCTCGGAAAGATAAAGCCCCGACTCAGGTTGAATGGAAGGTTTTTTGCTTATCTGAAAATTCAAAAGAAATTAGCCGTCTGCGAATACAATTTCACACGTGAGTTTGTAAAGATACTGAGGATATCGAATTTTTTTTAAATTTTCTAAATCGAATCGACTTCACGGATAATCGATATCCGATCGATACTGTCGATACAGATTTAAGGTGGTAGGACTGATCTGCAAAATTTCTCAGAATCTTTAGCATGAGCGTACTATATACAACAATAGGGAAATTGGTCCAGGCAAAACCCGGTGGCTCCATTCATCTAGTCACCCTTGAATTCTCTCATGCCAGTGTACATAGCTATGACATAGGGGGTGACGGTAATGGCGATGCCAGTGTCAAGGGAGGGAAGAAAAAAAACCATAAAAATCAGGGAATCAAAACATTTTACAGAATCACGCTGCATCCCGAATACAGCGAATAACCATTCGTTATGTGACACAATGGTTCACAACAATGGCACTGGTTCCTGCGCGCTTATGATGTATTATGGGAAAAGCGGAAACGTATGTTTTACCCCAGTTTCCCCCGTTTAGTGGCGTTTAGTGCGCTCCACTGATTCGCGTGGTATTTATTTTTTCCAATGCCACTTTTACCAGCCGCTACTTTCTCTCTCTCTCTCTCTCTCTCTCTCTCTCTTAGATTCTCTGCTCTTTTTTCTACACACTCTCATACTCGACGATCTTCTCTCTCTTATTCGTACATTCTCTACTACATATCTTTCCAGGACTCTCTCTCTCTCTCTCTCTCTCTCTCTCTCTCTTAGATTCTCTGCTCTTTTTTCTACACACTCTCATACTCGACGATCTTCTCTCTCTTATTCGTACATTCTCTACTACATATCTTTTCTCTCTCTCTCTTACTACATATCTTTCCAGGACTCTCTCTCTCTCTCTCTCTCTCTCTCTCTCTCTCTCTCTCTCTCTCTTTCTCTCTCTCTCTTTTCCTGCAACTTTCATTCTCCCCGGAAATCTCACCCTCGCTCTCTCGTTCTCCCTCGAGTTACGCTTCAACGACGACATTTATCATTTGTCGCTGCTACTCGCTGCTACTTTCTCTCTCTCCAACCCCGTTGTGTAATATCGCTACCACCACTCGATATGGATGTTAACGTGAACGTAATGGCATTATCTGACTATTGTCGAATACACGATACACCCCATACACGAATAACAGGAGGGGGGTAGTAACTGCTAATTCGCGATATCCATTTTTCTAAAGGCAAAATAAAGTCAAACCGACAATCTGCCTGTCGCTTTCAATTGACCTGAAATGTCATCCCCTCAAAAAGATCTTTCAATAAATTTAGCCATTTCTCAGCTTGGCAATGAAAATGAAAAAAAAAGCCCACCCCAATCCTGCTAATACGATGTTGTACAAATTTGACTGTGACGTATATCCACTGCAGCGACACTGTACAAGCGGAACGATACGACATTCTGATTCGCATGGCGGCTTAATTGGCACTCGGTTCGCGCAGACAAATTAACGGAAAGTGAAGCAAGTCCTTGCGCACCCTCGGTCTCAAAGTGAGCCTTCGTACATACCTAACCTACCTAGAAACTACCCTCCTTGCCACGGCCGGCGAATCGAGTCTAACGCGAAGATCGACGCAGCCTTCCGGAGGACCTCCCTTCGAGGGGTAGTTCTACAGCAACGTGTTTTAAACAGATTCCTCCGCGCCAGTTGGTTTCATTGCTGAATCGTCGAACTCCTTTCTCAGAGCACCACCATTGTCAACCTAAAAATCATAGACGTCAGATGCGTAAATTTTTGCCGATGAAAAATATATTTCTGATTACCAAAAAGTCTCCCAGACGGAAAGTGGAATAAGAAATTATATTATAAAATAAATAAAAAGAAAATTGTATAACCGTGCCATGACAATGGCAAGTACAGTTTCCCAGGACCTTACCATGAATATTCCCTTTGATCTGAAGCAGGTTAGGTTTCCCTAGCTGCTCATTTCACTTTTCCTCAATCTCGTAATCTCTACCCCCTGCATGTCACGAACGTTAAACGTCGGTTTTATATTTTTCTAAAAAAAAAAATTATTTTCAATCTAATAATTTGTTCGGTGACCAAAGAAGTAACTGAATATCAAATACAGAGCCATACCCAAAAATAAAATTGAGAGTACCTCCAAGCGTCCGTAAGCACACGCAAAGCATCGGGATTGGCTTAGCGACTAGTAGACGTCCAATAAATTATGATTAGCCAGAAAGAAGTCCATGTAGCGTTCCAAAAGAAGCGTGCCAAAGTGCTTTACTCCGTATACCTATATGTAGGGAAAAAAAAGAAAAAAGAAAAGTAAGCATAGGCAAGCACATAGGTAAAAAGCTATTCAGATCATTTAATCTATATGTTGGGCATATCCATATCCATTATGGAATAATCGTAACCAATGGCAGGGTGTAATCTAGTTTGTATAGGGACATAGTATTTTAATGGTCGTACAGGGTGAGATGGACACAATGGGGGCCCCCATTGGCCAACGACACGCACTCACCTATATACATGTGTACAGACCAGGATCCTCTTGCTGCTGCCTACTGCCTTTACTTGGCTGCTATCTATTCCGGTTAAAGTGCGTGTCGTGTCGCGTTCCGTCCTGTCGTGTCTCTTCGTGTCGTGTCTTGTCGCGCTATGGGTGTGGGATTTGTCGTTGCGTGAATCCTGGGACCCATCTCTCATACTATCGGTGAAGATCTACAATGGCGCGTCATCGGATTTCTGTGTGGGCGACTCTGGGGCTTTATGGTACACGTGAAAGTTGGTGTATAGAGAGAGAGAGAGAGAGAGAGAGAGAGAGAGAGAGAGAGAGGTCCCCCCTTCGACCCCTCTGACCAATCAGTAAAATATATGGAATAACAGTGGGAAAGAACCCTACGTAGAAAAGAAGCAATAAATGAGAGCGAAATAAGCGACACGATGACTTTTAACGGTCCTTCTGCTCGAAATCAGTTTGAAAATACCGCGACACGTGCCTCACGGTATTACCCCCTTCGAAAAACTCGAGTGACTTCCCAGTCCTCCCATTAGTGAAATCGATGCAACGTATGTGAGTATGTTATAACGTCACTGGGAATATTACCCTGTCAGCCATGAAATCCTGGCCCGAAGTCGAGGGTGAGCCAAGTACTCGGTAATGGCAGAGGTACTTAAGGCATACGTACGCAACGTAATAAATTTTTAATATTTCTGAATTTATAAATAATTCGTTGTTGCGTATTAATTAGATTATACAAATAAAATGCAAAGCATGGATAAGCTTGAGATGAAGAAAAATTTTTAAATTCCTAGCCTCGGTACGAAAAAATATTGTTAACCGGTATGTCTGTCCTTGTCTCGCACCCATAATCGACAATGGGTCCCTCTCTCTCGCACTCACGGCTGGTATAGGAAATTCGATAAATCTAAGCATCAGACCTTCTGCAATCGCTCGATCGAACTGGAGACTCGCCAATGGGACGATGCAAGTTAAAAAATTAAAAATGGCTGACCAAGACTGTCATCTGACAGCTGTCAAACCTGACCGTTCCACTACGTAAATTCTAACGAAACGTTCCTGTAAATTCTCCATCCTCCAGGTCATCCAGTTCCCTACGTTCCTGCGTCACCCTACAGCCAACGAATACTTCGTCTTGCAGCGTGACGCAACCCGGAATTAATACGATAGATAATAAATGTTTGCGCTCTGCATGTCACACGAGGTATACCGGATACGTGGCATGTGTGTGGCAGAGCCAGTATTTGTTCAGGCCCGAATAGCAAATAGGTCCTCTTCAGGGCCTGACATGTTTCTCTCGGGTCTTCCAGCGATACCACCTACCTCCCCTACACCCTGTCCCTCTCACCATGCACTTTCACAATTCCAAAACGACACCCTGCAAATTTGATACTCGTATTCCGCCCCTCGACAATCCTCCATACCTCTAACGCTATCTTTGACTTAAAAATATTTAAACAAAAGGTACCATCCCTCCACACTGAATCCCTACTAAATATCTATCTGCATCTATATGTGTGTATCTGACTGCACACTGCGTAACTAAACCGATGCTGTTCTCTATTTCAGTCAGCTAGAAACTGTAGAAGGTGGAACAGGAGGAGACTCAGGTAAACTTCGTACTCCAATGTAGTCGGTACTCAACTCGACTCAACTCTACTCAACTCTAGTTTAGTCTACTCTCTCTCTCTCTCTCTCTCTCTCTCTCTCTCCTCGCTCTCTCGGAGCTCTGTACTCGTTCATTTCCATAGATGCCAGCGGCACGCCCGGCCACCCCAGAGTCTATTGAAGTACGTCAAGCGTTCCCATTCGGCAACGTTCTGCTCTCTTCTTGCTTTCCATTGCTTTCTTCATCCTTTCCAGGGACACCCTTGCCTTCGTAGACCATATATACCTTATTCGTCGTTACTCCGATGCACTTGGTATGGGCTGACAAGTCGAGATGCGATGTATCGTTATTGATGGTTTTCAACCCGACGACATATACTTTCAGATGAATTAAACTTGACGGACGGTTTGTCGCTGGCTGGACAGTCGTTTGGTTCTTCTTGATGTATAACGTTTGACGTTCCATTATCCGTGAAGTGTATTGACCTGATTAAAGACAAAAGGAATAGAAAAAAAGATGAGTATGTAGATATAGCGTGGCACGACAGTTACTTTTGGAAAATGGATAATACCTATTCTTTTTTTTTTCTTGGAATAAACAGGGAACACACTGCAGCGACACTTGTGTCAATGGCTGTGTTGGCATAATGCTCATTGTGCGTGCTGGAACAAGAGAGAGAAAGAGAGTCAAGTGATAAGGTGATATATGTACAAGATAGGAAACGTGCGTTCAGTACTTTTTTTTTGTTATTTCTAAAAAAAGGTGGCATTTCTAATTCTTAATAATAACCCCACCCCTTTACTCTTCAGAGCACTCGAACGATACTCGGAGCAACGTACCCTAGCTCAAACTCGACAACTCAAGCTAGCTCGAACCGACCATATGTTCCCTACGTATGTGGCACGTGTGTCAGTATCATCCAGTCCCCGTGTGTACTTTGAGCAAATACAATTACTCTACATTCACATAGTCATTGACAGGCCCATTCTGAATATTGGTATTGAATCAGAGCCCAAAATATTCTAGCCCTCGTTCCACATTCCAGGGAATGCTTAAACAGACAGTTTCATAATTTCAATATTACTGTCTTATAAATTATCATGTCTTCCTGCAACTGCTCCATTTTTCTTATAACGATACGCAATGTCTCTTTTGTCATTTTTTCTCTTCCTTGACAATGTGTCAACCAGTCCCTCATTCCGTACCTGAGTCCCTGAACGCATTCTATTCCCCTAGTATACGTATCTACACGGCATAGGACGTATCCACGTATTTACATTTCTATATCCCTATATTTCTCATCAGGCTCGTCACTCCCTCTTTCAGGAGAAACTCCCGCCTCCTCGTTCCCTCTCTCAGCAGCCTTCTATCCCCTCTCCCGTCTATGTTCCTCCTCCATAACCTCCCACACCTCCTCATCATCCTCCTCCTCCTGAACTACCAAACGCAGCCGCCAGCACCACCATCATAGCCGGCCTCCGAAGTCTACCTTATAACTCCACCTCGGCGCTAGGCCTGAGACCTGCTTCGCTCACTGGCATAGCCCACCATCATCCATGGACTCATCCATGTGGTGTCTTCTGAACGTCCTGGTGTCTCTGATCGACATGGTCTATGGTGACAGTGACAATCACTATACACAGGGTGTCTTCGGTATGACTTGGAACCAGGTAGCTGGGAACGTTCACGTGGTCGTTCCAAATGTGAATCCTCCTTGGATAAATTATTTATTTATCCAGAATTTATATTTGGAGTCGATACGTCCTGTCGCTCCAAAGTGATCCGTGCTTCGCTCAAGGGTTGGAGACCAAATACTGAAAAAAAAAGTTCTGAATTATCGGATGAACTCTGGTATCCAAAGTGTTGGAATAAAAGTTTTGGATTGATCGACGGACAAACCTCTTTTCAGCTGCTTGTAATTTCTTTGCTGCTTTTTGACAGACGGATGGATCAAGAGCGTCGCTATTTGATAGGAGGACGCTTTACGGATCTCCCCTTGGGTTCTCAGGCGACTGGCAGACCGCCACACAATACAATACCTATATGCCTCTGCTGGGGGATGACACTTTAAATTTAATTTAAACGTCGTATTGTGCAACCCCCTCGCACCCTCCACCCCAGCAGCACCGTCGCCATCGTCTCATCCACCCCTACTGTCCTCTCTATCCATCCAGTTCCTCACTCTGACAGCCTTGATTCTCCTGGCCAACCTGCTTACAGCGATCCCCCAGCCCACCCCCAATGAACAGGACTGCACTACTTTCAATAGTCTCTTACACTTTTTCTCGCCAAACCACCCTTAGCCTCCCGTCTCAATACCAGCTTTGTCACTTGCATAATACCCTTTTTTTTCTCCATTATTCGCCTCAATTTTTATTCTGCTTATATCTTATCCCCTGGAGAGTGACAGGGAGATAAGGGGACAAGCTTGCGCGAGGGGTCTAAGGGGGTTGAAAGATTTTTTTTTTTTTCGACTCCTCAGGAAAAACCGTTTTTCCCGTATAAACAGTATTCATCCCCTATCCGGTTTACCATTACGTCCAATATGGGTCTCGTCTCTATCGCACCCGGAGCAAGCTTCAGCAATCTGCCAAGGACCAGGATGCTGAAATTAAGGGTACGAGACGGTAGCTGTCCAGGTTTAAGGATTTACAACAGATACGGGGATGAAGATCTCATAAGGGTGGTATCGGGGTATTATAGATATATTGCTGAGTTGGGCGTGCTATGGTTGAGGTCGTTATTCAAAAGTCATCTTAAAAATATTACTTAACCCTACTTTGATGAGGATCGAATTCGAAAGGATCACTGGAGTCCTTCTTGATCTTATTGAATTCCGTCTGGTGTATCGTACTATATGTATGTATGCAACTACCCCGTGTTCAGGGGATTCCCCTTGCAAGAGGTAACAACAAGGTATGTATACCCAGATACTCGAGCTAGGTGTAAAAGACACTATAAATTTTCTCCATAGAATTCTGGAATCCACGGGAGGGTGTGATCCTGGCTGTACGGGGTGCGAATACAGTGACTCCTGGTGAACAGGGTGTGCACGGCACATTTTCACCCCGTTTTCTACAAGACTACAGACATCTTTACGAGGCTAATTTATAACCGATAGGTAGTCATAGCGCGCTCCATTTAATCGGAGAACCCTTGGCGGTGCCATTGCACTATTTATGGGAGCAACCATAATGATGAACGTTAAGGGATGACGGCTGGGATCTACGTTCGGATAAGGGTGCAGCCAATGGGACAGAAATGGGGTCAGGCAATACCGGAAATCCCGTATATCATGGTAAACGAGATGAGAATTACAGTGGTAAATACGTATAGAGATAAAGGGGGTTGAATGATAGAAGGAAAAAAAACTATAAATTAAATAATTAAGAAATTGACAAATTTATCAAAAAAAAAATAATACTAAGATAGAAAATAGTCAAGGGCAAGAAAGCATAGCCATATAGCCGAAATCCTGGTATTCGAGTTTGAGAGTTGTACTATTCAGAAGTAGGAAGTTAAGGGTGAGTCAAGATTAGGGTGGATGAGGTTAAGCGTATGCGTGCTACTGCACGGACTGTATACGTGGTATAGGTATTCCACCAAAGGAAAGAAAGAAGTCGGAGGTAGCTTGGCGAATGCGATGAAAAAGTATAGAAAGTAAAAAAAAAATTAAAAGGGGTGACTCGTTGGGGCAATCTACCCTCTGAACAACGTAATCAACTCTATTAACGGGAAGCTGTACCTACGTAGGCGGTGACGCGTACCCTCGACTTATTGCAGCGATTGCAAAGCGGTTTATCGAATCGGCCGCCAGTGGCAGCACCGACAACCCTCGAACCCCCCGCGAGATTCCTATAGTAAGCATAGAGCGAATAAAAGAAAAAATCAAACCAGTGCAAACTACCCACCAAAGTCCAGGGTAGGTAACGGTACCAGAGAGTAAGGGTTGTAGTGGGATATTTATGGCATTTACAAAAGTAGTCCTAGATGGTTACCGATCGAGATGCCGCAGTGGTCCATAAGGAAGTCAGCAAAGAGAAGAGGAGGATCTCGAAGGGTGGGAGGGAGGGGGGTTGAGACAGTCGGGAGAGTAGTTGGCGAAGCAGAGGAAAGTCAGGGAAGCGTGTCTAAAAGCCACCCCGAACGTCGTGAAGCTCTCGTCGTGGTCGCATGGCATGTCTCTTTGGTCGCGTGTGCCTATTTCCACTACCCTTCTTAGCTGTATCGCGCCACCCCTTGTTACTCCTCCTCGAGACGTAATGTGTATATTATGTTAACAAATAAGTGCTCGCGGTAATAAAAGCCGTGGATAATGTATGCGCGATGTCTCGAACAATATTCCTCTGGCTCCGTGATATAATGGCGGGTATA